CAGTTTGCCGACCACTGCCCTAGGTGGAACCCATTCTATGGATAGTTATTTAGGGAAAAAAAAAGCAAACATTTTACCATCCAGTAAGAAAATTACCAGTTAAATTTAGACAATCAATTTGCTATTGGATAAAGCCATATATGTAATTTTTAAAAACATGTATTTTGTAGAAAGAACCAATACAAGAATAATCTAAATGTGGCATTTTGACTTCCAAGTGATACACCATCATCTGTTGCAGAGAGATAGTTTAGTTCCCTTCTTTCCTGGGAATCACTCCCTTTCCCCTCAAGTCTAATTACTTTTGGGATGGTTTGTATGCAGAAACCTATGACCAGGAGGCTGGCTAAAACTCAGCTTTTGTTTTGCTATTGCCTGTTCTATCCCATCTTCCCTCCCCACACCCCAGTATAGCTCAAGGTAAGTCCTGACTTAATAATATCATCTCATCTCCCTTGCCAGTAAAAATTTAGAGATAGGCATGCGGTCCAGTTCTGGCCAATGAAATATGAGAACAGATCTTTGAATGGGTCTTTTGGTATAACTTCCCCACTCTTAAGAAATTTAAGGTGAGAGCGGTCCCACTTTTTTGGCTGGACTTTCCATGTCTTTGAGTGATGCCAGGAACAATGGCAGCCATTTCGAGACCTTGACAACTAAAGACAAAGTCGACAAGCTGAGGATGGAAAGATGAGGAGAGCCTGGTTTCTTGACAACATTAAACGTTATTGAGCCATTAATTAAGCCACCTCAGCACCTGCTACCTTGAGACTTCTTCATGAGATACTACCTTTTCCTTGAGTAAGCAAGCTGAGACACATTTTCTGTTACTTACATCAAAGTTATCTTAACAAAAACAAGAGGTGTAAGCAGCTTTATTTGATCACATCTAACAGAACAGCTCATCCTTAAATTGGGAGTGAGGTGTATACATTCTGCTGATATTTATCACTCATTTTACTTGTTTTCATGAAAATATTTAAATCCTCTGCTATTTGGACATGTGCATTATTTTAAGAATGCTGGATGTAATATTACTTAATATCACCGAGACCAAATTCTAGGTGGCTCAACATTTTGTGTCACTAAATGTGAGGAATGGGGAAGGCTTGAGGTGGTATTTAATCTGGATCTGGAGGGATCAGTGGTTGAACAGTTGGAGATGGAGTTCAAGGGCATTCTGGAGAGTCTGAAATGTAGCAGTGTGCTTTGGGGGTGTACAACGGTAGACAGATAAGGCTGGAGCTGGTTAGAGTCCCGATGTCTTGCTGAGCAGTTTGGGCTCCCTTTCTGAGAAACAGTAGAGATATTTGAGCAGGTCACCACTTATTGATTCTGGATGAATTGTCAAAGCATATAGTATGCATTTTATAGACATTTTTGCATATTTTAATGAAAAATGTGCACGATTTTAATGACACAATAAAAATCCAATTTCCATTCTAATTTGGATTGTATGTTTTAAAGTGACTGGTTAAATAGCCATTGTTTTCCAAAGCATTCAAACCAGATGCAAGTTCTCTATAGAGACTACTTGGAGACCAGAAAATAACATAGGGAAGGCAGTCAAGCTCAGACACCTGGGTGTTGGCGGGCATGACAGTTAGGTGGTGGTGGTGGTGGGGTCTGATGCTCTGGGAGGGAAGGGGTGCCTTGCCTGTGTTGGCAAAGAGATGTCTCCATGGCAACGCGAGTTGGGGAAAAGCTGCTTAGAGCCTTGAGGTTGGAGGTGAGTGTCCAGAAAGAAGCCGGAAGTGTGAGGTTCCATTTTACATGCCCGGGAGCTGACCCTCTTCAGTCATTTTACTGATGAAGAAAGGGAAGCAGAACAGGGAAGAGATATGATCCAATTTCTGGAATTCACCTTAAATACAACCCTGAATAAACACGAGGAAAAATGACTTCCCTGCTGGTGGAGATGGGCCAGAAGGAGGCTTGCCTGAACCTCGGCTCCCTCATTAAGAGGACTAAATCCTGCAACTCTGGCTGCTCAAGTAGTAGCCCTGCTGGCTGGCCCCTCCGTGGTTCCCAGGTGGTGAACACTGTCAGACCACACAGTGCCACACCATCGGTCAGGAGTGGGAATACTTCTCTGGGCCTTTTTTTTTAAAGCAAGGAAGCACTTCCCAGAACCCCCAGCAGATGTCCCCTTCTTGGTGTTGGCCAACACTGGTCACATGCTCTTTTTGAACCAAGCCCTGGACAAAAGGGGCTGATCAAACAGATTTAGACTCTTTAGGATTTACCCTTGGGCCAAAGGGCGAGGGAGGGATGGCTTGGAGGTGGGGCGGGAGGGAGAAGGAAGAGGGTGTGAGGCCGCAGTGTTGGCTGCACAGAGGCCCGGAAAAGAAGACTGCCGAGTGGTTGAGAGCACAGGCTCTGGAGGGAGGCAGGCCAGCTCCTCCCGTGCCTAGCTGGGCTGCCCTGAGCATGGCTTCCCTGCACCTGCACCCCCAGGAGAGCAATAGGGTGAGGTGGCAAGAATAATCTAGGTAAAGCAATTGGCATAATGCTTTGTGCATGATAAGCCCTCAGTAGATGTTCTTATTGTTGCTGCTGCTACTGTTGTTATTAATAAAAGTGACGTAGCTTCTGCCCTCGAGGTGCGAAACCCGAGCTGTCACAGGGCAGGAGGGACCTCTTGCCCCTCTCTGTGCCACAGGCAGGAGCGAGGCTCCGTAAGGACTGCGTTTCCCTCCTTCCGCACAGGACTGGCCTCCATTCCCGCATGGACCGCTCAGCTGGGGCGGGGGTTTGGGCTCTGCTGGTGGCAGCTGGACCGAAGGCCTGGGGAGCAGGGCGCAGCACACCCTCTCCCTCTGCTCAGCGGGGCCAGTGGGGCGCGAGGGATGATGTTTTCACCCAGATTGATCACCATGGGCGTGGAGGGCGGGGACTAGTGGGCCCCAACATCTGCCATCAGCGTTCAAGGTGATGCATCCTCCCCACGAGGTGCTCACATTTCCTGGCGCTTTCACATGTCCAGTAGATGACAGTTAAGAGGCTGGGCATTTGCTTAATAGTTACGAGCAAATCTTAGTAGATCCGCAGTTCTCACCCCATCTCCTCTGCATTTCTTTTTCCAAATCGGGGTGTACTTGGTCCCTCAGAGCCAGGGCGGGCCGGCGGGGTCTGTCCCAGGGGCGCAGGGGCGCGGGAGGAGG